TCTTTACTTATGTCTTTTGTAGTACTTTCGAAGTATTTTAATATGCATTTCAGCAAGTTGCCATTGATTTTCCGTATGATTTTTTGCATTTGTTTGATTTCTGGTAATGCAATACATTGTAATAGCTTTTTTCTGCTCAATGAACCTCTCAAGCATATAGTATGTCGAATTCCATCTTGTGGAAACATCTTGAATTATGTTATGCTCTGGCAATTTTAGTTAACTTTGAATTTCCTTTAGTTTAGCCACAGCACTTGATGAGTGGTGGAAATGTCCTGCTAATGCTCGAAAAACAGCTATTGTATCACTTGCTGTTCTTTGTTCTCTAAAGATCTTTTTCTGAATACAAAGTTGTAAAGTATGTATCAGACATGGAAGATGATAATCTCCCAAATTTGACTCTTTAATAGCAGCCATTACATTAGCTGCATTATCAGTTAAAACTACATGAATTTTTCATGGGGGCCATCCATAAAGTACGTACGCAGTAAAACCACTGATTTAGGACCCTCCCCCCCTTGTACGCACTTGTATGCTTTCAACGACCTCCCCCCCCTTCTGCGTACGTACGCATTTTTTATTACAAGTTCAGGCTCTCCTCCCCTTCCTTCCCCAACGCATTAATTTTTCAAAACATTAAACACAAAAAAACATTTTGTTAATTTCTCTGTGCTTAATTAAAAACCGGAAAGTTATTTGTTAATAACTTTCCAGTTTTTGTTAAAGAAAGAAAAATATTCTAAAAAAGAATTCTTGTTGCGAGTATTTATATTTCATATTTCCTCAAATGGTGACTTAAATAAATCAAATATGTTATCAAATACAGGCATGAACTTTGCTTCCACACTTTTATAATCAATCTCCTCACTGATATCTTCACTTTTATTAATAGATTCACTGTCACTTACACTATCCTCACTCTCCATTTCAACCGTATTTTTTTTTTTGTGTATGTGCTTTCTTGTGCCGTTTCATTGCAGCCTCGCTTGGCCAGTATTTATTGCACTTGTCGCAAATTCCGTTTGAGAGCTTTTCCTTTAACGATGGGCAATACAGATCAAATGGTATAATTTTGTATTTTAATCCTTCTATAGGTATATCATGTAGAAAAAGTCGATGTGTCAGTGGTGCAAACGTTGATTGTTTTGATACGTTTTTAAAATATCGAGACGGTTCCATTGCTTTGTAACCATTCTCGCAGTATTCGTAGATTGCCGGAAATGGAATGAAACGTTGGGGGAAGTTTTTCAGCCAGTTTGTTTCAAACGGTGTGCAACATGACTCCTCTTGGCATTTTACGATTTGTAGGCTGTATCGCGATTGCTGACAATGTTTGTCTACCCAAACAGGATCTGGAATTGGTGGTTCATATGCTTTCCCAACTGGTACAGCCTGGCAATGAACAGGATACCCGTCAATGACGGTTTTCTCCCAAACTTGGGATAAAACGTCAGCCGCTTTTTGAAAGTTCTCTACCTCCAATTCATAGTCGATTGTTTTTCCAGAAGAATCAAGGTGATTGCCAAAAAAATCATGAGGAAGGACTATTCCAGCCAAATCACGAGAAAGAGGTGCCATTCTTCGTTCTACGGGGTTAAAGGCTGAAAGGCCAGCTGCATTCACACCATGAAGAAGGGCATCTAAATTAAGCAAGCGAAAGAGGTCAACAGCAGTTGCTAAGGTTTTAGGGAAACGTGGTGCTTCATCCTGAGCTCCATCAGTCTCCATTAACATAATTGGTTTACGTTTAACCAACTCGGTTTTAAAAAGCTCTCTAACATCAAAAGCATGTGTAAAAGCATTTGATGTATCGTGTTTCGCACTTCTTATGCGTATGAAAGTGTCCCCACTGTATGATACATTTCCAGTATTGTTAACTTCGCATACGCCATACACTGATGGGATCAATTTGTGCTGTGAGCTAACGACAAAATCGTGATCCATGAGTTTGACCTTGTATTCCATATGCATCAGCAACGGCGCTTGAAGGCTTGCTGCAGCAATACCCAATGGGACCCTGGCTTTATCATCGTTGGAAATGAAAAGCACAGCTTTTGGTCCAAACAATTTGCAAACTTCGAACATGTCGTCAATGAATGATTTGGCAAACATTCTATCGTCATTTTTTTTTCGCATTGAGTTTTCTGGACGTAACAGCTTTACTGGAACTGTGCTGACATGTTTTTTTCCTTCAGAAGTGTTTCCACGTCGTGGTAAAAGACGAAGGTACAAACCACTCCTACTCAAGATAAAGCCTATCTTTGTCAACTCTTCCTGAAGGTTATCTAAAGTGGAGACGCTACGGAGACAATCTGTTCTTCGACGTTCGTCAGCTGCTGATAAATTTTGCACAATTTTTATAATTGTTGATAAAAGCTCTGGTTGGTCAACTTCGAGACGCGGTCGTCCAGTATGGTTTCGACTAAACTGTTTCAAAGCACTTGATGCTTCAGGGATGTTCTGACACACAGTTTCGATGCTCTCTTTAAGTTTTTGTCTTCGTTTTCTTTGACGAGCTGATTCACGAATCAATCTGAAAACGAAATATCAGTAAAGCTTTGATTCCGTTATAAAAACTTCTATACTTAAGGTTTCGCAACTTTTGGCTAATGTTGCAAAAGAAAAAGTACGCAAATTCTTATTTCAAATAAGAAAGTATTATTTACAATAAGATTATGAAAGTTTCTGTCTTTGAAAATGTTTGGTTTTTATAGCCAAGACGCTTTTCTATACGCATAAATAAACTATGTATTATTTAACATATATCTCTTGATATTTACTAGAAACCTGACAGTTAAGCATTCTAAAATGAAATATCAAATAAAGAAATACATAACTAAATTATCTTACCTGTCCAATTTTGTTTTTTCTTTTCTTATGGTTTCTTTCACAGTGTTTATTTGTTCCTTTGTTACGGTAGATAAACCAGAATCACGTACGACTATCAAGGATGCACGTTGTGATTCAAGATCTGAGATTTTCTTTCGACTCCTAACTTGTGCCGGATTTTCTCTTTCTTTTTTGTTGTCTGTTAAATCTAAATTAAAAAATGCCAAAAAATAAGCTATTATAAATTCTTGACAATTACTACTAATCAATTTATTTTGGATATAGAAAAATAGGTCTAGTGGTCAACATTATAAATTTCTGTGACTGCTCTAAGGTCGTACGATGTAGTTTGATTTACAATACGGTTAAACTCAGTAGGCCGGGTGAATAAAAAAGAGCAATTGCTTTTACTCAGTAATTGTTCAGTTTTACGTGAATAAAAAATTGAGCAATTATCCTCAAATTTCTATTTACGTAAAGTTGAGCGTTGTTGGAGTAAATTGTTCAGCTTTACGTGAATAAAAATTTGAGCAATCTTGGTCAAATTTTTATTCACGCAAAGCTGAACAGTTACTGAGAAAAAGCAATTGCTCTTTTTTATTCACCCGGCCTAATGTATAGAAAATCACAAGAGAGAAAAAGTTTTTAAAATATTACAGAAATTAGCTTACTAATTTCAATCCTTGCAGGCTCTGTCGTAGTTGCATTTAGGAAACTTCGTGTTTCATTTGACGAAGACGGCGCTGGATGGATATCTTTTTTCTTTTTGCTAGGTGGTGAAATGGTATTTCCCCAGAATGACATAAGTGATACTTTCGACTTTGTTACTTTCTCTTTTAACTCATTTATTTTTTTTTCATACAAGGATTCATTGTTTTTTACTATTTTCCACAACTCTTGTGCTTGCTGATACTGCTTTTGTTTTTCAAGTGTTGAATATGCTTTTTTATATAACTCAAGGAATTGAAGGTATTTTTTCTCGTTCCCGCGCGGCATCTTGGTCATAATAAATAATAAGTTTTTTTTCCAATGAGGCGTATTGAGTTTTCGAATAGAATCATAAAAGTTTTTTTTGTTTTAGTTTACTCAAGATAATTGCCGTTACATTGCATCATAAAAAGTGTTGGTTTCCATCAGCATTTAAAGTAACTATTTTTTACAATTATCACAATGATTGTCATATGCATTGTCACATGTATGTTCATTTCGCTTCGCCTGTCCTTAGCAATCTTAATGTATGTTAATATTAACTTTAATGATAAAAAAAATAATAATATTACCTTTTTTTATTTTATTGTTTTTTAAAAACAAAATATTAACCTTTTAAGAGAAATGGGAAAAACCAGGTTCGTAATTAAAAAAAGAATTCAGAAGAAGTTTTCTTTGATTACAGTTTTGTTACTTTTCATCTTGCTACAGTCGAATTATGTTGCAAAAAATGGAAAACACTATTTGGAGATATTATAGCTCGATTTTTTCTCTCCTCGTTACTTATAAAGAAAAATAAAAAACAATTGTAATTGAAGTCAGAAAAAAAAATAACATATATTATATTATGATTTTTTAACGTGAAATTCAATGTTTTTATAAAAAAACATTAAAACACGTGAAATTCAATGTTTTTATAAAGAAGTTTAGGAGAGATAGTTAAACCGCGTACGTACTCGCTGTCGTTAACACCCTTCCCCCCCCCCTGTACGCATTCGTACGTTTCAGGATAACCCCCCTCCCCCCATACATGCGTACGTACTTTATGGATGGCCCCATGGGGAATTTCCCATGATTGTAGCGCTTTATTTATGAATTTACTTATATTGTGCCCTGTGTGCATTATTAGGTCAATATAATGCTATAATTGATTTTTTTATTAAATCAAAAAAATACTGAATACTTTCAAAAATATTTAAGTTATAAAATGACCTTAATTTTTGATTCTAATTATCTCTAAAAATAAAAATCTCAATAAAATATTTTTTATCGGATTGCACGATGGAAGAACATACACCTCAAACTTTTTTGTCGGCATAAAACCTCAGATCTTTTTTCTTTAGCCGTTTTTTTTTTTTCGATTATCGATATTACGCGTTCAGATGTTGAAGTGCCTAATTAAGGAACTTAAGGGGTCGTCCATAAATTACCTCATGCTTAGGAGGGGGGAGGAGGGGGAGGCG